ACTCCCAGAATTCCCCAGCTAGCATGGCTGGCTGGGGAATTCTGGGAGTTGAAGTCCACAGTCTTAAAATTGCCACGGTTGAGAAACATTGTCTTTAGGGTTGGAGCCCTGTTTTGGGAGGCATTGAACCTCAGCTGGTAAAGGAATGAAGAGTCCAGCTCTGACATTGACAACTGGACATGGGGGAGGAATATAGATATAAGGGAAGTATATCTTAAAGATGTAGAGTCTGAAGCCAAGAATAGCTTTCAAAATAAGAATTTGAAACTGGAAGCAAACCGGTGACCAGTATAGACTGAACAAGGCTGGAATAATACTCAGTGATCTGTCCCAGATAACAGAGGAGCCGTTAGCTTCTGAAGACTAAAGGACACTTTTAAGGGTAGTCTCATGTAGTGTGTGTTATAGTAGTCCATTTCTACAGCTATTAAAGAACGGGTGGCCTTGGCAGGTCTGATTTCTCTAAGAATGGATGCCGCAGGTTTATTAGGCAAACCTTGATGTCTCCCGTTACATAGAGAATGGCTTAGAGGAGCCTAGTCTCAGTTTATGGGCTGAGATAAGTCTTAACTGTTCAAAGAGAAATAAGCATTGTGTCTTAATCCTGGTCTGTCTTTTCAAACAGCCTCAGCTCTGCGCCCCCAGAGTCTGGGATCGTGGCCGACATTGACTTGGAGAACATCCTCTCTCTGAGCAGCGAGAGCTTCTACGAACTCAAGAGCCAACCTATTGGTGTCAGGTAGGAAGAGAGAAGGGTAGCTGTCATTGGGCAACGGTTCTGTGAGGCTGTTGTCCTTCTGCTTCTCAGTTCCTAGGGTGGTGGGATAAGGAAAAGAGAAGGAGACTTTCTGAATATTCCAAGATCAAATGATACTCTTGAGAGGATTTTCCTTAGTTTTTCAACTGTAGTTCATTCATTCTTCTAGCACACTTTATCCTGTCACTTGCAGGTAGATAGATTACACAACCCTTCAGTTCCAGGCGTTCAAGATAATATATTTAACTGAATCAGAAATTTATCATTGGCCTCCTCAGGTCTTATTTTATTTTCTGCTGAATACCAGAGAACCCTGAGGTAGTTTAAACAGTGGCTTTTATACATGGGATTTTAGATTGTTACCTGAAAGAAAAAGGAAGGGAGGTAAGGTGATTCAAGGCTAAGCTAAATAATATAGCTTGTTTCCTTTGTTAATCTCTCTCATAGGCCAAAATTGCTGTCACACATTTTTTTTCTAATGCTTGTACACATATACAGTATGCACATAAAATTAAAAAAAACTGGATGCTTCCATTGACATAGCAGGCCTTTGCCTAGCTCATAAACATATAACCTTTTCATCTACAGGTAGTCCTCGCTTAATGACTGTTCACTTAATAACAGTTCAAAGTTACGATGGCCTCATAAAAAGTGCTTTACAACCTGTCGCATTTACAACCGTCGCAAACCATCGCACCCCCCCACAGTCACACAATCATAATTTGCAACCTTTTATGATGGTCATTAAGTGAATCACATGGTTGTTAAGTGAATCATGTAGTTGCTAAGTGAATTCTGGCAAAAATGTTCATTGGGGAGCTGAATTCACGTAACCATGTGATTCATTTAACCATGTGATTTACTTAATGACCATCATAAGAATGGTCATAAAATCGGGTCTGGTCACGTGGTGACTTGCTTAACGACCACTCCACTTAACAACTAATTTTCCAGTCCCTGTTGTGGTTGTTAAGCGAGCACTACCGATATTTTAAAAATAAGACCTTATTCCCCCACCCATTAAAATGGGACTGGTCAAACATTCTTAAATTGAGCTAGAGTCAGTTTCCCAAATGATCCCTTCTAATTAAGTGAATTTCTCCCCTTGTAGTATATTGAATTTCCCCAAATTTGTAGCAAGTAGCCATGGTGGTTTAGAACAGGATGCTTTTCTGTCCTTCATCTGCTTTTTTCCTCAAGCTCTGTCCCCAGTTGAGTTATCTTTGTTTAAAGGCACATGAACATTTCTTTAGACTGCAGCACACTAACATCATGAAGCATTTTACAACAGTAATTGTTGCAAGATTGTGATGTAAGAATTATGCTGAAGGTTGGATAGCTGAGCTTTGGTCAAAGAAACTGGTGGTGTGGTGATTGTTCCTTGACCCATGTTAACTTCTGGACTTAGTGAAACAGTCAGTCTTTTAATGCAGTGCAAACAGTGGGAAGGAAAACAATCCAGACAAGGGAAATTCCATATTCCGTGAACTTGTTGCTGATGTGTCCCAGGTGTCTAGCTTTGCAAACCACACAATGTGCTATTGGATTCTCCAGTCCAAAGCAAAGTTACCCTACAGGTTTGTACCAAATGCCAAAATACCTTTAGATGGTGTATCATGTTATACTTTATCCCAGCTTCACAGCACATATCCGTATACCAAATACAATGTGCAGTATTTACAGGCAAAGTTCCTTCAGATTCCTACACAGGAATTTTTGGCTTTTTTTTTTTTTTCTTTTTGCCTCTTGTTGATAGAGAACTGCTTTCTATGTAGGGCTCTCCGAAAAGATAGGACACCATGAAGAGTAAGGTAAGGAAAGGACTTTGACCTGAGGAAATTATAGTAAGCAGGAGGGAGATGAGATCCCAGAGAGGAATATTGAGTCAATAAATTCATTTATTTTATTTTAAGCAAAGGGGGATCTAGAATATTTCTTCACTTAAAGTAACTGGAATTTTAACATTTTGCAGCGTGTTGTGTGTGCGTACACACTTTAAAAGAGAGTCAGGAAAGGGTGAAGGAGAGCAAATTGGAGACTCTGTTTAAGAAATGGTGGTGACTGAGTAAAGATATCCCTCCAAACAGGAATTTGACCCCTCAGCCACTCTGGCTGCTGATCAGCTTTAACAGGAAATACTGTATCTAAACCCTCGGGCTTCTCTTTCCCATCCAAGGAGATTAAGAGTATTTTTTTTTCATTCCTCCTCTTTTTTTAAATTCCAGATTCTATGGAAGCAACCAGAACCCATATTTCAGGTGCCTTTTTCCTAGTTTGCAGGTTACCAGCAATAATATCGTCACCATTTTGGATTTCTGTGCAGTCAGGAGACATAATAATCAAAGTGGCCAACTTTGCAACAGTGTAATTATAAAATCGATAATACAATGTGTTGCTTTTAAATGACCCCTGAAATTTCTTTCGACTGGAATCTGTGGGCTAGTTTGCACGTCCCTCTAGCCCAGTAATGTCTGGCCAGCCTTCCTTAATACAATGCCCCGCAGTTCTGTTGGAAGTACAATTCCCAGAACTCAAAACCAGTAGGGACTATTGGTCTAGTCCAGTGTTTCCCAGTCTTGGCAACTCTCGGGTGTGTGGACTTCAACTCCCAGAATTCCCCAGCCAGCACGGCCATCGCTGAGGATTCTGAGAGTTGACATCCACGTATCTGGAATTTGCCATGCTGGAGAAAACTGACTGGCAGCTGTTCTCAGGGGGAAGGGTTTCTTAGCTTTTTCCCTGATCCTATTTTCATCTGAAGTTTGATGGGATTGAACAGGATGGAAACCACCTCTGCTTTCAAGCAGCTATGACTCCAGCTCTGTTTCAATGACCTTGATTTTAAATTTCTTTGAAGCATTTGTGTCTTACCTACAGTTCTGTGACAATTCTAGTAGCAGCCAGAATAGACTAATGGTTAGGGAATGCTAGATTAGGATTAGAGAGGTCAGGGTTCAAATCTCCACTCAGCCATTAAATGATAAGGCCTGATACAGTCTTTCAGTCTTGTCAATCTGCTATTGTGAGGATAAAATGTTGGGGGGGGGATGTATATTGCCTTGGAGGAAAAGTGAGTTTAAGTAAAAAATGTAAGACAATAATGTAAAACAGCCTTCTCTCTCACTGCAGTTTCTTCCAAATGTAGTTCTTAACTGCCACGTTATCTTCCTTCAGCCCCAGAATCTCCAGCACCTCTCAGAAATAACTACTAGCAAATGTCAGTGAAAGGAGGGAGGGTTTCTTCTTCACTTGGCCATGACTACTTCTAGTTGTAAAATGAAATACATTTCCCTGTTACCCCCCAACAGTGATTATGATTATTCTGTGCCATCAAGTTGGTGTTAACTCCTAGCAACCACAGACAGGCTTTCTCCCTGACAATCTGTCCCTAACCTGGTCTTTCAGGTCTTCCAAAGGTGTACCCCACTGTAACTGAGTCCATCCACCTTGCTGCTGGTCGTCCTCTTCTTCTCTTTCCTTCCGCCTTTCCCAGCATCAGAGCCTTCTCCAGAGAGCTGGGTCTTCACATAACGTGTCCAAAGTAGGATAATTTGAACCTGGTCATTTGTGCCTCAAGTGAAAACTCTAGGTTGATTTGTTCGATGATCCATCAGTTTGTTTTCTTGGCTGTCCAAGGTATTCTCAGGAGTCTTCCCCAACACCAGCGTTTAAAGGCATCAATACTCTTCCTATCGTGCTTCTTCAAAGTCCAACTTTCGCTTCCCTTGAGTGTCACAGGGAATACCACGGCTTGCTTACCCAATATTGCAGGAATCTAAATGCAGTTGTTTTCTCTTAGCTGTGAACTTCCTGGTGTGAAGGAATTGCTTTAACTGATATTTAGCTGTACTACTAGCATGTCTTCTGGATAACCAGAGAATATGAATTGGTGTTTGCATGTGAACATGAACTAGGAACCCTGTATTGATAAATAATTTATTCCCACTTAGTTCCACCTTTCACACTGTGAAAGGGGTTGCTTCATGTGACATCCAAACCTGGGATATGGTTCAATCCACCCAAACCAGCCAGGATTTGTCTGCCATCAATGAGTTCTGTTTTAAAGTTATTTATAGTCCTGGCGTGGTGTTGTTTATGAAATTGTGGTTAATGGGGAGGATTTGGGGCGGGACTGAAGCAGAGAAAGGACTGCAGTGGTTGGTGTCTGTATAATGGAATAGTTTCATGTTAATCTTTGAGGTCGGCTGGGGAATCTTTTTTTTTTTTTTAATGGGTGTGCACTAAATTACCCATGGGCAATGTCAAACCCCAAAAAAGACAAAGCCTCTGCCTCTATTTTTTCTCACGCTGTTTTTTGCTTCCTGTTTTTTTCCTCTTCCTGGTGGATACATCGCTCTTCAAGAGTCTAAGCAAATCTTTTGTGGAGGGCTTTTGAAATTCAGTTTCCAACATGTAAAATTAGGGCCACAGGGTCACCGATGTTTTAGTCTTCTTTTAGCTTCCTACTACAGTAGATCCCTAACAGAAGTCTCAGCATCAACTTTTCCTTACTGGTCCCACAAATCAAATGATTACTTCCTGAATTTTGGTAACTGGCTTTCCTTTTCTTGCTTCCAGTCAAATATGACATATGCATTTACTTAGCTTGTGCGATTCGGCTCTTCTTTTATCATTCAGAGGCAGGAGTAAAGGGATTTATAGAAGCTCTGTTTATCACTAGTAATTCTACTTAAGAGCCAGTTTGGTGTAGTGGTTGAGGCACCGGGCTAGAAACCAGAGATCCTGACTTCTAGTCCCACCTTAGGCACGAAGTCAGCTGGGGGACCTTGGATCAGTCTCTCACTCACCCCTAGGAAGGAGGCTAAGTTATGGTTAAATGCACCCAAACCAACCAGGATTTCTCTGCCATCAATATGTTCTGTTTGGTCTGGTTTGGCAAACCACTGCTTAAATTTTGCCAAAGAAACTGCAGGGACTTTCCAGGCAGTCACCAGGAATCAACAATGACTCAAAGGCAGACACAGAATTCTGCACAACTCTTTTCTCTGGGTTTGGAGATTTCAGCTGACCATGGTCAACATTGTTTTGTAATCTTAAAGATTAGGCACTTGTTTTCCCTTAAAATGAAAGCTGAGATACCACATTCCACATCTGGATGCCCTACCTTCCTCCAAATGGACTCAAGTACAGATTGAAATATCCATTACTTCCTTAAATCTGCTACAGTCAATACAGATTTTGGATTTAATTGCTTTACAGGGCAATTTTTTATACAGTAACTGTGTATTATTTCACTTTAAAATGTGGCCAAGCTAGTCTTTCTAAACTCAGGGAAAGCCTTTCTGCTTTTGGGGACCTTGGAATTCTGCCCCCAGTAGCACCATGAATGGTTGAAATCCCATGTCCTGGCAACTAGACTGAGCCTACTCAGGCGGCTGTTGTGCAGAATAGAAACTCTCCACCAACTCATTGACTCTGGGATCATCCCCAGTAGTGTCTTAAGGGGGTCGCACCTTGAGGGCTATTGCCAACCTGCAACCTAACATCCTATCTCATCATTTGACCTCACTAAGCCTCTCAGGAAATATATACCTTCTTTCTCTACCATTTTAGTGCGTCGTTGCTCCATTAATGTAAAGAAAGCTTTATCTAACAATAACCTATTCTACTGATGCTCAATATAATAGCCTGATTTATTTATCGCATTTCTGTCCTGCTTCATTCTGACAACTCTTGGTGGCTTACCTAATATAGGATATAAAAAAATACTGAAATATGGCCAGGTTGCTCTCTGTCCCACTTGTGTGTAGGAACTGGTACCCTGTTACCAGGGAGGCTTCTTTGGAGGATTTACTGGCCCAACCAGTGAAATAATTCTCTCTCTCCTTCCTGCAGCCCTCCAAGGGCCCCAGCTCAAGGTCCTAGCATGTCATCCCGGGTTCTGCTCCGGCAGCAGCTTATGCGGGCGCAGACGCAAGAACAGGAACGTCGGGAGCAGCAACAGGCAGCACAGTTCACCCCTGCCTCCGCTGCACCATCTACTCCAGCAATTTCTGTGAGCCCGCTAGCTCGCCCTGCCCCTGCCCAGGTGCCTGTGGAGGTGTTGAAGGTAAGAGAAAAGAGGAGGCAACTCTGCACTGGAGGGAATATCAGGTTTGATCCTAGCAGAAGGAACTGGGCAGAAGAAGATGTTGGTACCGCCAGTTTGGGATTGACAGGCAGTCTCATTTTCCTCCTTCACTGGAGGCATTCTCACACTTAGAAAGGATGCACAGTGAAGCTGGAAGTGATTCAGCTGTGGTGTATGCTTTGCCTTTGGAGCCCTAAGGTAGTTTTTCTGCCCTTCCTCTCACTTTTGGCCATAGCCGCTTGGCCCAAGTGCCCTTTCACCCAGTTCCATCTCGTTGCATCCAAACTTCTGTGGTCATGGGACCAGAATGATGTAGCCTCCTTCTCTATGCAAAGATCTGAGGGCTGCATTCCCTTGATCTGGTGTATGTCTTGTTACATTGGACTTTCATAGCCCAAAATTCTTAGCAAGGGCCACCGTGGACAGGGAATTCTGGGAGTTGGAAGTCCAAAGATCTGGAGGACCCCCAAGTTGGAGGAGGCTGTACTATTTATTCCTTGTATCATGCTGCAATTGGCTGCTGAATTACTTAGAGTCCTCTCGCCTTCTGCAGCAAGTGGATGGAAGGCTGCAACTCCTGGAATTCTCCGCAATGGTCATGTTGGCCAGGGAATGCTGGGAGTTGAAGTACACACTCCTAGAGGGTGCTCAGGTGGGGGAACTGTGTATTACGTATTCCTTGGGATATACTGTGATTGGCTCCTGAGAATCCAATTCTCCTACTGGGCAAGGGGAAGGGGACTTCAGTTTGTGTTGGTGTTCTCAATGCAAAAGGCATTAGCAAGTTCTCTGAAAATAGATTTAAGTTGAAACTGGCTGGATGTCCAGTTTCCCTGCCCTCACAACTCTTGACGCCAGGCTATGCTGCAGGTGCAGTGGAACCTCTTCCCCCGGGGTGCAAATTTGAAGTGCAAATTTGAATTCATTGGGAACAACAGGGAGGGTTAGTTGTGACAGCAGTCCCCATCCAGCAAACATAACTCAGAGGCTTGGCTCCTTTTGCTAATGTGATTACATTTGTGTATGTAACTGAGGATGAGGTTCAAATTCAATTTGCCAGCATTTAGAGGCAGAGGTAGACTCTCAGCTTGCTAGCTTGGTTCATTGCCTTCAGCATTTCTGTATGCTGGGAAATCAGTCTGACCCTGTTGCATATGCAAATGGTTGAATGGCACCATCCAAGTGATGGCTGACTCATATTTTTCCCCCTCTCCCTCCCACTTGAACTCAGGTTCAAACGCACCTGGAGAACCCCACCAAGTACCACATCCAGCAGGCGCAGAGACAGCAAGTCAAACAGTATCTTTCTACTGCCATGGGGAGCAAGTTGTCAACCCAGGCATTAACTGGGACTAGCCCTGGTGCACCCACCTGCTCCCCACAGGCTGCTTCAGCTCCTGAGCCTGCACCTGGTTTGCCTCACCAGCAGGGAGTGGCAGGAGGCACTGGCAGTGCCCCCAATAGCCCTATGGCTATGCTCAACATTGGTTCCAACTCTGAGAAAGAGGTGAGTAGAAATTCCCCTACCCCCTTCATCCCTCGTATTCCCACAGCTTTCTTGCCTTTTCCCTCCCTCCTTGCTTTCTGATTATTTCCAGTTGGCCCCCCTCATCTCAGATACATCTAACCCCACCCCACTCTCCTCTCCGTCAGATTGATGATGTCATTGATGAGATTATCAGCCTGGAATCCAGCTACAATGATGAAATCCTAAACTATGGTGGTCTGCAGATGCCCAGCACTGTGAGTAGCTTTTGGTTAAACAAAGAAAGATGTATGGGTGCTTAAAGAAAAGCAGTGGTGGGAAACCTAGATTTGGAAATTAGGATGGAACAGGTAATGTTTTGTTGTACGTGCCTTGGTTTAAATAGAAAAAGACATCATAAAGCCTGACCTGTCTTGTGACATCATAAAGCCTGACCAATTTATGGCTTACATTTTCATAGACCATAGGCTGACTTCAACAAATGGAAGCTGATACTATGAAAAAGTATTAGACTGTAAGAGAAAGTCAGCATCTTCCCCTGTACCTCCCCCCACTTTATTTTTGGCTACTTAGGATACAGGATTCTTGCCCCAAATTGGTGGAAACTGCTCCATTATAATAAAAAAATTTGCTGCCCAATACTGGATGTGTATCTTGAGGAACTGGGAGGGGGGTCTGCAAAAAAGGGGGGAGGTTATTTGACCCACAGGCTGTGGGTCACCCATCCTGCTTTACTGTGCCATAAGATTCTCTATTGGTTTTGATCCACCAGACTAATAGGATTCCTGCTCTGAAACTCTTCAGATAGATTAATTGCTTGGTATAAAATACATCATGCATTTGAGAGATAGACAGAAGCAAGTCAATTATTTCTTGCAAAGAACGTTTCGGAAATATCCATCCTTTTCTTCTACACTAACACCTTAGAACCAGACTATCCTTAAAAAAATAAAGATAAGGAAGAGTGTTTTTATTTTAGCCTTAATGCTTTAAAAACGACTTCTCTGGAGTTAATCACCCACCCATTAGTTTGTTTCTTAGGCATTCTCAGTAAGTATCATTAATTAGAATTGAATTAACCTGTTACTGTAGATGATATATTTTTACCTTCTGTTTGGATGTCAAAGGAATATAGTACCTATTTATTTCGTCACAAGAGCATCCTAATGGCCATTAAGATCAGCCAATGTGGAGTAGCGGGCAGAGTGTTGGACTGGACTGGGGAGATGCAAGACCAGAACCCCACTCAGGAGGAAGCAAGTTCCCTCAGTGACTTCGGGTCTATCCATAGCTCTTAGTTGCCAGGTGCTGCCTCCTGATCTAGACTAGAAGATCTAGATTTGAAGGTAGATTAGAAACTAGACATCTCATGTTAAAGCAGACTTTCCTGAGCTGCTGGCCTGGACGTCACATCAATTCTTTTCTGTTTTGCGCAGCTTCCAGTCTCTGGAAACCTCCTGGATGTGTACAGGAACCCAGGAATGATGGAGCCAGCTGTAACTGTCAGCAACTCCTGCCCAGCTGACCTGCCCAATATCAAGAGAGAGATGTCAGGTACTTAGCTGGAGGGATTGAAAGCATGCCGAGTTCAGCATAGAAAGGTGCTTCATTGCAGGGAACAAAAACAGTGGCGTAGCCAGAGTTGAACGGAGCTCCTGGAATAGCTGCCAGGAGGACATGTCTCTTTCCCCATCCAGGAGGAAAGATCAGTGTCTTTGTTCCTTTTAAAAGTTGAAAGAAGAGTTTGGGGTGTGCAGTGGCATCATATTGCTACCACATCTGGCACTTTGATTTCCCTAAGGCCTCTAGACCCCTATGGAAAACAGCTGGGAATGGGTGGGTGGCTTTATTATTATTTCTGTCTTAATTTGTGCCCCTTTGCAGAAAATGAAGCCAAAGCATTTCTGAAGGAAAGGCAGAAGAAAGACAACCACAATTTAAGTGAGTGGCCTCTTGGATGAACTATCTGTGACTTCTTATTCTGGGCTTGAAATGGATATTTCATTGCTGAGAAAAAGGGCAAAAGTGTTTTCATGTCTGGGAGACCCTACATATGCCTACTTGCCTCTTTTGGTCTTACATAAGTTCAGGGATTTTTGTCCCACCTCTGACTGGCTCTCTGGGCTTTTCATCTTCTACTTGATCCTTTTGAATAGAGACACATCAGGGCTGCAAAGCTTGTACCGGCAAAGCAGGTGCTTGATCACTAAGTTCTAGTGTCTTTGAAATCAGCAGAACTTTATTCTGAGGAAGAGTGAGCAGGATGTAGCAAATATGTGTTTTTCCTCTCAGTTGGGGAAGCTGTGTGTGTGTGTGTGTGTGTGTGTGAGGGAGGGAGGGAGGGAGGGAGGAGAAGATCCACAACAAACTTTTGCTGGGTGAAATTGGACATCATTATTCTACTCTGGCCTGGTTTACTGTCTCAGTATTTCAAAGCAGAATCTGTTTGGTCTGCTTGAACATTTTAAATCTTCAAAGCGGTAATACAAATTCTGGTTCCTTTATCACAAAACATATCTCAATGATTCTTGGCTTTCCCTTCTTCTCAATTCATTTGAGTTTTATTTATTCACAATATATGGAAAGAGCTCTTGCAGGAGCAGAGCAAACTCCATCTAGTCTAGAACCCTTTGTACATCTTTAGTAACCAGCATGCCCTGGACATTGGCCACTGATCCAAGAAGACTAATGTGTCTTCTGTCCACTTGTGAGATTATAAGCGGCCCTGAGGTGCTAGCCTATTTGACCACTTGCCTCTTTTAGAGCAGAGAGAGGGAGAAAGAGAGTTGGGAGCTGAGAAAACACAAAACAGTCGTGGCAACCTCACTGGGGCTGAGTTTACACGTTGTGCTAAGCCTTAATGTGGTCCATTGGTTTGCATATTGCCAAACCCTAAGGTTAACCTCTGTGGTTTGTAAACCAGGGTTTATGGATTAACGGGTTGTATAAACCCAGTCAATAAATCATGATAAATCCAACCATGGCTTAGTACAGTGTTCAGAACAGGCCATTGTGTCCTTGCAGAAGAACAGTTCTTTTTAATGCCAATGATTTGATGAGGGAAAAGGCAGAAAGCGTCAGCTTCTTCCACATCTCTGTTGTATTTTGGATTGTTTCATTGCTCCTCTTCCTACCTGTATATTTATAATAGAAGTTGAACCAAATTTAAGCAGCAGTAGCTTCCCTATACACGATACATTACACAGCAAGGCCGATTCATATGGCTTCTAGGAAAAGAGTCAAGAAACCACAGATGAAATGTCTTAAACAGAGATAAGCAAAATTCTCCAAAGTTTAATATTAAATATTAAAAGCGTAGCATAAATATTTAAATAATAAAAGAAAAAATTATTTTTTAATCAGTTAAACATCCCCCTCTATTTTAATTCGGCAACTGATCTTACATTATAGGGGAGAACAAGAGATGGTGTGGGCTTTCTTGGAAGAAGGATTTCCTTTCCTTTCTTTGTGTATCAGATAAAAAATATTTTAGATTCTTTGGAAAGCTTTGGGCAAGTTTTCTCCCATGGGATCCTTAGTAATAGTGAAGGCTTTAAGCTGAAAAATGCAGATAATCCAAGATCTGTTATTGTTGAAAGCAAAGGTCAAGTGCCTTCACTTGAAAGTTGCTGTTAAATTCAGCATACGTTGACTTGGAGGTTAGGGATACTCTACTAGGTGGGCTTGTGAGGGGCGTGGATTGAGGAAAGGTTGTTTTTGACCCACTGGAGTCTAGAAGTGGGAGACAGTAAAATGATATGGTTGACAGACATATTTTATTTATTTATTATTAAATTTGTATGCTGCCCATCTCCCCCCAATGGGTGACTCTGGGCGGCTCAGAATTAAAATCAGAAACCTCATCAACAATTAACCCCCCCTCCATAAATAGTTAAATAAATAATCCATTAAAAGTCAAATACACATCATATAAGATGTGATGAGGCCTGAGGTAGAATAAGCAACTGAGCCAGCTTGCAGAAGATGCCTTGTGTTGGCCTATCATTTATTGGCGGGGGGGAGGGGAAGATTGGTTGACATATTCATTTCTTTCCTCTCCTCCCACCCAGTGCTGCATTTCATCATAAATTTTTCTGTGCTAGGCCCTGGGGCCCCGTTGTTCAGCTGTGTTTTAGGTTCTGTGCCAACCCGAGATTGTATGCAAACACAGGAAGGATTCTGTGCACAAATGCAGGAAGGGTCTGATTGGTTTTGTTAGAATATGGCACATTCCTGAATTGATTTCTATTAATAGAAATGGAAAAGAGCTGAAAGTACTCATAATATATGCATGTTTCTGAAAAGTCCGGATTGAGACAGTCAAATATCAACATGATTGTTATTTCTAAAAAAAACTAACCTAAGGCACCAGCTATGAAACTATCATGCCCTGCCTGTGTCAGATGCAATGCTGTTGCAGGGTGTGATGTATTAACAAAACCAGCATTCTGAAAACTGAGTGTCTATGCCAAGCAAGTATAGTAATAGTAACCTGTACTGGGTAGCTTATCTTGTACATAATTCAGTACCCAGTTAACTATGGGGAAATTAAGAACTACAGAGATCCCTATTTTCCAGCCACTGAAATAATTTGCAATGTTTGTATGCCTGCCATTATCCTATTAGTGATTTTGGGCCAGATCAAAATTAATTGTAATTTAATGTTACTACAACAATAAAAGAGTTAAACCCCAATTTAAAAAGTCACAATGTTAAAATGCCTGAATAAATTAAATATTTTGCTTGCTTTTGAAAAAGATTGTAGTATACCTGAGTCTCTTTAAGGAGGTACCATTGCTAAGAACCCCTTTTCTGTTTTTCAATGGCATTATTTGAATAACGGAGGTACCTGAAGAACAGCCTCAGAAGATCTTAAGGCAGATTCACGTGGGATGAGATTTCTGACATTTTGCCTGCATATTTCAAAGTATATTTTTTAGAACCATGAGGCTGGGAACCTTTGCCTTTAAAGAATCTGGAAGTTGAATTTTGTGCCCAAGAATAATAATATCCTTGTGTGGAATCACAACATATACCTGTCTTTGAAGGTAGCTTAGCATAATGGGGAACTTATCTAAGGACTGTTGAGAGGTTCAATGGGATGCTACAGTATAATAGCAAACTGCTTTGCTTGCTGGAAAAATACTAGAGACATGATTCGCTTTTATTATTAATAGTTGTAGCAAAAGCAGGAGTCCTCCATCTCTCCACAGAGCCTCTTACGAAACTCTCTCTTTTTGCAGTTGAACGACGGCGGCGGTTTAATATAAATGACCGAATCAAAGAACTGGGGACCCTCATCCCCAAATCTAATGACCCGTAAGTCTGACAGGTTGATGAATGTAACCACTTAATCAAAAATGAGATAACAATTGTCTGCAAAAAGGGACAAAAGCTTATATAGGCTTGATTGTGTACTACACTGAGCCTCCCTGAGTGATACGTATGCATCTTTATATACAATTTTTAAAAGGTGGTTTGATTTTGGTATGAATTCAACCATAGTGACTTTTATGCTGATTTATGACACAGTACAGTGCTAATCATAGGGAGCTGTAGTTTATTCAACAACCCTCTAAACTAACTGTGACTCAGTACAGTGTAGAAATTAGCTTGTGGAGACTTCGATAGTTGGAGGTATATTGAATACATGAACAAAATAAAATGGTGTGGTGTGCAGTGTATATAGAAAGTCGCTATCGTTCCACTTCCCTGAGAATCCTGTATGCATGTGCTGGTTCAGTCATACACATTCCCACTGCTGGTATAAACTAAAGTTTTTTCCAGGACTGAATGCTATCTTTTGCCCATGCCAACTGGAAATACTGGGAGTTGTAGTAGTCCAACACTTTTGTAGGGCCCAGCTGAAAGAAATTATCTTTACAGAGTCAAATGGAGTAAGATCTAAAGAGACTTAATTCCTGTTCCCTGTTGCCTCCCCCCGCGTTTAGGGAAATGCGCTGGAATAAAGGAACTATCCTGAAGGCCTCAGTGGATTACATCCGCAAATTGCAGAAAGAACAGCAGCGCTCCAAGGAGATGGAGCTGAGACAACGCAAATTAGAGCAAGCTAACCGCAGCCTGCAGCTACGAGTACAGGTAGGAGGGATGGGAAGGGACGGGATGGGACGGGACGGGATGGGGGCAATGCAGCTCAGGCCTGCTGCCAAGTCTCATGAGCCTGTCTGTGACTTCTTCTGCAGGAGCTGGAACTCCAGGTACAGATGCACGGGTTGC